GGAGAAGGAAAGAAAAGCACACTGCCATGTGTGTTCCTACGCAACTTTTTTGCATGCTCTGCTCATGTACCCCAAAACCTAAAATCCAATAAAAAATTTTAAAAAAAAAGTAAAAAGGAATACATAAAATAAAAAAAAAATAAAAATGATCCTATATATGTATTAAATCCATTTAATATATAGTTGAAAACTTTTATACAAGGAAAATTCCAGACCCAGGAAGCTTCACTGCCAAATTACTACAAACATTTAAGAAGAAGTAATGCAAATTCTAAAAACTCTCTTTCAGAAAAACAAAAGAAAGGAATACTTCCCAAATAATTTTATAAGGCTAGCACTACCCCAACACTCTAAAAACAAAAGTATTAAAAGCACAAACTAATGCTTTCCTTGAACATAAACTCAGAATATTCTTCAACAAATTTATTAGCAAATAGATTCCTTCAGTATATAAAAAGAATAACACATCACAACCAAGTGGAGTTTATCCTCTAAATGCAAGGCCGTTTCAACATTTTTAAATCTTTTAATTTACCGTATTAACAAGCTAAAGAAAAAAACTTTATAACTATATCAATAGATGCAGGAAAAACTCTTGGAAATTTTTTTTTCTTTTTTAAACTTTTACATTCAGGTGTACATGTGCAGGATGTGCAGGTTTGTTACATAGATAATCGTGTGTCACGGGGGGTTGTTGTACAGATTCTTTCATCAACCAGATATTACGCCTAGTATCCATTAGTTACTTTTCCTGATTTTCTTCCTGCTCCCACCTTCCACCCTCCAATAAGCCCCAGTGTGTGTTGTTCCACTCTATGTGTCCATGTGTTCTCATCATTCAGATCCCATGAAAGTTCTCATATTAAACCATAATGATTAAAAAAAAAACACTCTCAGCAAATTAGGTATTGAAGGGAATGTTCTTAACCTAACAGAGCATCTATTAAAAAATTTATAGCTAACATATTTAATGTTTTAAGGCTGTATTATTTATTGCTGCATAACAAACTACCCCAAAGCTTAGTGGGTTAAAGCAACAATTTTTTGGCCATAGTTTCTGCGGGTTAGGAATTTGGCAATGACTTAGCTGAGCGGGGCTTGCTCAAGGTCTCTCATGAGGGTACAGGCAGGGCATTCACTGGGGCTAGAGTCATCTGAAGGCTGAATTGGGACCAGAGAAGCTGACTGCAACCTTACTTTGTTCCCACATGGCTACTGTCAGGACACCTCGGATCCTTGCTATGTAGGCCTCTCATGGGTGCTTGAATGTCTTCACAAGTCATCTGACTTCTCCCAGAGTAAGTAATCTGAGACAGAAAGCAATGAGGATAGTACAAAACCTTATATGTTCTAAGCATATATCACATACCATCTCTCTGTCACATTCTATCGTTAGCAGCAAATCAGTCAATAGAATTCACACTTAAGGAAAAGTGATATTGACTCTCCATTTTAAAGGACGTAGTACCAAAGAATGTGTGAACTTTTCTTTAATATCACCACAAAGATTGAATAGGATGTCTGCATTTACTACTCCAATTCAACATCATACTGGAAGTTATAGCCAGTATAATATGTCAAGAAAAAGAAATTAAAAATAAGCTGATTTAAAAGGAAGAAATCAAACTGATTCTACCAGAAGAAAACATAACTGTCTACATAGAAAACCCTGAAAGAAACAACAACAATGAAAACTCAAAGAAGGAATGAGATTAGCAAGATCACCAAATACAATGTTAATGTTTTAAATATTGTATTTCTATCTACTAGCAATGAACAATTAGAAATAAAAGTGTTTAAGTATCATTTACACTAGCACCAAAAAATAAAATAGTTACCAATTTAACAAGATATGTGTAGAATCTTTTTGCCGAAAACTGAAAACATTGATGAATAAATCAAAGAAAACCTAAATAAATGAAAGCATGTACTATGTTCATGAATTGGATGACTTAATATTACTAACATGCTAGTTCTCCCAAAATTAACCTACTGATGCAACACAATCCCATTAGAAATCTCATCAGAAATTTTGTAGATATTGACAAACTGATTATAAAATGTGTAAAAGGTACAGAAAATATTTTAAGTGTAGCTAAAATCTTTTTGAACCAAAAATGAACAATGTTGGAGGACCCACATTACCTGGCTCTGAGACTCATTTTAACACTGCACTAATCAAGACAGTATGCAGTGGCAATAGAATATTCAAATCAATCAATGAGACAAAATTGAGAAACCAGAAATATACACACACAAATATGATCAATTGCTTTTTGACAAAGGTGCAGGGGCAATTAAATGGTGAAATAACATTCTTTTTAATAAATGACACTGGAACAATTGGCTATCTATATTCACTGGTATGAATTTCAACCTACACCTCTTACCTTATACAAAAATTAACTTAGGATGGATAACTAGCCTACATGTAAAACATAAAACTATAAAACTTTTACAAGAAAGTATAGAATAAGGTTACTGTGACCTTGGGACTTTAGTTAGGCAACGAGTTCTTAGACATGAGCCAAAAGCAGAATACATAAAAGAAAAAAATGATAAATTGAATCTTATCAAAATTAAAACTTTTTTTCTGTGAAAGACATTGCTAAGAAAATGAAAAAGCAATCCACGGATTCAGGGAACGAAAGTTTCCAAATTGCATGTCTGAAAACAATCTTGCATCCACAACATATAAATAACTCTAGAAACTCAACAATAATAAAGCAAGCAAGCCAATAAAAACTTAGCAGAAGATTTGAAGAGATGCTTCAATAAACGTGATAAACATATGGTAAAATAGATACTCAACATCATTAGTCATTAGGGAAATGCAAATTAAAACAGCAATGAGATACTGTTACCTAACTATTTGTGTAAAAACTTGAACCCTCTTATATGGCTGGCAAGAAGGCAAAGTGGTACAGTCACTTTGGAAAATAGTTTGGTAGTTTCTTATAGAGTTAAACACACACTTGCCAAATAACCGAGCAAACCCACTCCAAGGCATTTACCCAAAAGAAATGAAAACGTATTGTATTAGTTTTCCAGGGCTGTCATAACAAATTACCGCAAATTTGGTGGCTTAAAACAACAGAAATTATTCTCTCAAAGTTCTGGAAGCGTTTCTTCCAGAGACTGTTCTGTGCTTTTGTCTTCTGATAGCCATAGACTTCCTTGGCTTGTGCTTCCTTGCCACTGTCATGTCACCTTCTCCACATGTGTCTTCTGTGTGTATCTCTTCTAAGGAATAGGTCATTGGATTTAGGACACACCTGGATAATTCATGATGATCTCATTTTAAGATTCTTAATTACCTTAGCAAAGACCTTTTTCCCAAGGAAGGTAACAACATAGGTTCCAGTGATGAGGATATGGGTACCTTTTGAATGCAGCCCATTATACTCATCTTCACAGAAAAATCTGTCCATGAATGCTTATAGCACCTCCATTCATCAATCCCAAATGAGAAACAACCCAAGTGTCCTTCTTTGAGTACATTGATAAATCAACTGTGGCACATTGCAACAATGGTGATACTATTCAGTAATAAAAAGAAGCAACTCACTGATCCATGCAACGATATGGATCAATCTCAAATGCCTTATGCTGAGTAAAAGATAGACCAAAAAACTACATACATATGATATTCTTGGGAAGGCAAAACTATAGGGACAGAAAACAGAACAGTCGTGATCAGAGGTTGAGGGTAGAAGGAGTGATTGACTGCAGGAGGAAACATGGAAGAATTTGGAGAAGGAATGGAACTATTTTGTGTCTCCATTGTGGTGGTAACTGCATGACAATGTATTTTTCAAACTCATAGACTGGTACATCACAAAGAATGAACTTTTCTATATGTAAATTTAAAATTATATGTTTACTATGAAATACTAGGGCTGAGACTTTGCAAACCAACTTTTCCTTTGTCAGCTGAGCCCCTGTTAGGCTCTGCTAACTGGGGGGTCTTAAGAGGAGACAAGAGGCATTTGGAATAAGAAGAAACAGGTTCCTTCCAATGTTGACTTCTATTTCTGCTGGCATCACCCACAGAGATGCTTTACCCTGGCAGTGAGGTTGTTTCCAGTTTCAAGTTTTGTTTTGTTTTTCCCTACTTCTAGAATAGCCGTGTTACCCCTTCAGAGATACCAGCATCTGCCACCTTCCCTTCTTGGTGGTCTGAGAATTCTCCTCCAGGCTCTAGATCCTACTTAGCCCTCTTCTCTTTATTCCTGTAGCCCTGCAGATGGTGGCCTCTTCCAACAGTTTCTGTCTCTGAACTACTCTTCTCTTTCACCTTTTCACTACATTAATACTAATTTAGCCAACTCCTTTTATTAAATTATTTCTATTAAAATTACTGAGGTAGTTCCTATTTTCCTGACTGGAGACTGACTAATAAAAAGCCAGTGTTTCCTATGCCCTACAATGTCCTACATGATCTGTATTCCTCATCTACTCTCTGGCCTCATCCCCTACTTCTTTTCCCCAACACTCCCTCGAGGTCTAACTGCTGATTCACAGGACATACCTGTTAAACCTCACCACAGGGATGCAGAACCTAGAAAAGTTTATTGAACAAGTAACCTAGTCTCTCCAAAAAATAAACAGCAAGGGGGAAATAAGATGAAGGAGGAAACTCTAATTTGGAAGAGACTTAAATTAAAACTTATTAACCAGCAGCAATGTGAAGATTCAATTTGAGCCCTGATTTCACATATATACAAATATATGTAAATTCTCCATCTTATTCATATGACATGATATGTACAGAATATGAATGCTGACTGATGTGTAATTTTAAATAATTTTCAAATTATTATAAATTTATTTTAGTTGTTAAATGAAATTGTGATTATATTTTAAAAGCTCTTCCCACTTAGAAATACATGGTGGAAAGGGATGTGAATAATAGTATCTACGTCGTGGTTTTGTCATGAAGATTAAAGGAATTCACAGATATAAAGCACTGTTTTAAAATAACGTCTGGCCCATACATAGTAAGCACTCAAAAAATATTTATTATCATCATCATCATCATCATTACTATTATTACATAGGAAAACAAGTTGTAATGAACCACCAACGTTTTGAAACAAATGTATCCAAAATATGCTTTTAATCTTGATGAAGTTCACAAATGGCACAATATTGACATTTTCTTAAACAAATTATACAATCATGTTCTTAGACAACAAGGCACAGCATCACCATTACCACGTGTCCTCAGAGACCACAACAGGCAGTGATTTCATGTCCCCCCAAAGGTTTGGCAGAGCTGCCGTGATCAACAGGATGCCTCTAAGGAACCAGGTTGCTACCAGATAAGCCAATGAGAGATGCCATCACTTTTACTGGACATATAATTAAATATAAAAAGATGCACAACAAATATGTAATTAGCTTATTTTGCATTAAGTTTCATTCCTTTCAAGTGACAAAGGTGTCATTTTTTTGGAATCTTCAGATGCAAACATGTATGTCTTCCATGGGGCATTCTCACCAAGTTGTTGTCAACAGAAATTAATAGAAATGGTGAGTTCAGGTTCATGATAACCTGAGATGAGGGGAAAAATGAAGAGGAAGGAAAAGAAGGGGAGGTGAAAGAAGAGAAAAAGAAAGATGATGAAAAGGAGAAGGAAGATAAGCAGAAGACAAGTCATGAATAATCACAATTATTACTGAAAAAATACTAATTTACAGAGGTGCTTCTTTAAACAGCATTTATGAACTATGGATATGAGAGGTAAGCAGGCTTGTAAGGCAAATGAAGACTAAAATAATTCAACTGCAGCTATTAATATTGGTAGTATGATTACAACTCTCCCATCTGAATCTCTAGTCAAGGGTTGAGCCCTTTCTGAAACCAGCCTCATTAATGAAGACTGGCCCTGGTTAAGGTTTGCAGATCTCTCCCTTTGTGAATCCAGCAAGCTTTTTTTCCTTTCCACTTTCCTTCTCAGAAAAATAAAACTGTATCTCTGATGTCAGAATGTCCTAGGTTCTAGAAAGAACTTACTACCTCAAGAGGAAGAATGTAATGGGACAGAAAGAACCTAAAGAACCTACCAGGGCAGAGGTTTTCAAAATGTGAGTCTTAACTCCAAGTCCCTTCCCCCTCTCATTCCATAGTACAAGAACAGTTACCTTCTTCCTGGAGTCATTCAGCTGCTCAGGCTTGAAGTTCCCTGCGACGCCTGCCAAAGGCTTTGGAACCGACATCGGTGGGCACAAAGTTGCTCTTCACCATGCCCCCTGATCTGCTCAGCAAGCCTGCCAGTCGATGAGTCACACAGGTGGCAGTGTTGCAGGCTCTCTTCTGGGTAGTGGTACTGATTTGCAGGATAGAGAAAGAAGAGAAGATCTGTGAATGAAAAGCTGGGGGAGTGGCCCACCTCGTGGGACCTTCATCAAGAGAACTGCAACTCTTGAACATACTGCCTAACAGTTAAGTGTTTCTCAAAAATGCAATTATCAAAGCTGTTAGAGGAAATGGCCTGGCAGCCTTTTCCAGAAGCTCTGCCCAAAGACCATCATGAAAAGAAAGAAAAAAAAAATGATTCCAAGCCATGGGGCACATGCTGAAACCCTGCACTTACAATTCAAGGAGGAAATGGGCAAGGAGGCCCAGCCACACCCCAAGATACACAAGGAATACATAGAGACCATAACCCAGCCACAGGCACCAACACTACCCCTTATCACAGGAAAGTGAAATTCCTTAAAGACTTCAGAAGCTCAGAGAACAGGGTTTGCAGCATTGTCTCCCAGAAGTACCTACCTGCTCCTTCACACACTGTTCTTGCTGCTGGAGCTGGGTCATAGAGATGACCCACGAAGCCCCATATCCAGCTACCCTGAAGCTAAGGCTACTTCTGAGCATAGGCACTGGACACCCTCAAGCCTTGGATATGGACCAGAGCAATGAGCATGGAAGCTCAGGTTCCTTTAGAAAAATAGATTTATTCATCAAATGCTGAGGCATGAAGGATGTGCTTATTTGATTATAGTACATCTAGAAGCAGAAATTAGATAGCTCTGTCATAACATCCTCTACAGTCTGAAGAAGCTTCCCTCATTTTATCTTATCTCTAACGTGGTCAGTAAGTTCTGCTCTCTTCCCTTCCATCCTGGGGTTTTCACAACATTCTCTGTCATAAGCAAAGCTACCAACACCAGCATGAAGACAAATTAGAGAGGAATCCACATGCATCAGGTTCATTATGTGGAGCAAGAAAGGGAATCAGGAGATGTGGGAGTTCAGCTGCCATTCTGGGGTACCATAAAGTGGGGTAGTGGTTCCTCTGCAAGCCCCTGGCTATATTCCTACTCTTGCCAGGCATTTCAGGCCTGAAGTTGATGACAGGGAACATACTAAATTTGTTCCGTTACTGTAAGTATGTGCCCAGCAGGCAGGTACTTAGACTACACTACTTAAATCTAGTACTATTCAAGCTGCAAGGAAAGGACATGCAAGACAGTACCATGCACTGGGGCTGTCCCCATGGGCACTAACTCAGAAGGTTGGAGCAGGCAGGGGGCAAGTCGAGTTGGAGCAGGAGGGACAGGCGGGAGGGCAGGTTACACACATTCCATTGGGAGAGCTGAGAGGTTCAGTGGGCCAGGGCAGTGTAGAGAAGGGCTGAATGGGGAAGGATAATCTTTTCTGACATTCACAGGTCATTCGGTCCTTCATGCTCAACAGAGGGGTTCTCAGGGTAGATGTGGCTTCCGCCACATGCCTCTGCCCAGCAGGGCTGGGATCAGACCAGGGGCTGGTCTCTGCTCAGGCTCAAGGTGCACAGGGATGTGATTCTGGGAAAGGGCCTTCTCCCTTGATAACATGCACATCTCCACAGAGCTTGCACATCTTAAAGGCTCAAAACTACCTCAGACACTGCTCTATCCCCAACCCCTGCAAGGGCTTCATCTTCACATTGCAAATGTGAAATGAAGGCTCCTTGCAGGTGTGAAAGAGCAACTATACAATGTAAAATTTCTAAAACTTTCTGAGATACTGGGTCTATCCCTGGCTTCACCCTCACCCGTCGTAACTCATCCACTGCTAGGAGGTCTCCCAGTACAGCAAGAGCAATTCCCACAGTGACCAATTCCACACCTCCCCATTTCATTTCCTATCAGCTTTCAGGAATTTAGTTTTTTCTATGTCTAGAAAAAGCTTCTACATCTATGTCCTAACAGCTTTCAGAAACGGAGTTTTTAATTGTATCTAACCACAGTCCCTCCAGCTGCACTGGGATCTCTGTCTCCCTTGGAACTTGAGAAAGGGAGCCTGCTGGATCCCTTGCCTGTGTGGTCTCTCCTGCCTCTTGGGATGTGCTTTCTTGGTATGCTGCAGGGAGGGAAGCCCTGTGCTGGCGCCTGCGGAGGCTCACCTGGAGCCTTCTGTCTCCTGCTCCTGCTCCAGCTCACTGGCCTTCATCTGCACATAGTCCTGCACCAGTGCAGCCAGAAGGAGGCGCGCTTCCTCCTCACTGATTGTGGCCGGGTCTGGGCTGCTCTCCAGGGCAGACCTGTGAAAGGAAAGCAAACTCAATGCAGGCTGTGAGTCCCTGCCTACCCACCCCGCAACCCCAAGGATAAGCAGCCAGGCTTCCTGGTCTCTGCTTCTTTCCCTGGGGATGTGGCCACCGCAACTCACAGGGGACAGGGCATGAGGCCAGTGTCTACCTGTGGGCACTGATTCACCGGGAGCCACGCTTGACTTCAGAGGCACAGAGCCGTCTGTCCCAGGGGCAGTGGGAGCAGAGGGCGCCCCTGGCTCCAAGCTGTCTCACCTGAATGGCGCTGCCTGGAGGCTGCCCGCCTGGCACAGGACCAAGATACTGAGAGCCAGGAAGGGGGAGAACTTGCGGAAGCCCATGCCGCCTCTCTGTAAAGGAAGGATGACGTTACCACTGCACCAACACAGATCTAGGTTCCAGTCCTGCCTCTGCCACAACCGTCATATGACCTCAGGCAGGTTACTTCACCAGCCTGAGCCTCTGTTCCCTTCATTTGCAGGAAGGGTTGCTGTGAATCTCAATAGATACATTGCAGCGAGTGAATGGCTTGATAGAACAGATAATGGTGTCCTGAGGGAAGGGTAGGGAGAAAGGATGGATTTTAGTTCTGTTTTGTTGAAGGCCAGGCAGAAGCCACAAGCGCCCGTGCACACTAACCCAAACTTTTGCCCTGATTTATACTGAAACCAGGCGTGGACGCACCTTGCTGTAGACCTGCTCTCCCCTTGCGCCTGTCTTCTCGCCTTCTCCTCTGCTGCGCTTCGAGACAACGCGTGCGAGGGGAAGGCGGGAAGGGCGGATTGGAAAAGAGCGCTCATCTCTCAGTCTTGGAACTGAGGAAATTTTTAACATGCCAGTTACAGGTGTCTCGGGACTCTCCTGCAAAGCCGGCCCTGTGCCGGAGAGCACTTTAGCAGCAGATGCTGGACCGCAGCTGCCCGAGGTGAGCACCCAGGGTTCTAGTGGGCTAACTACACTGCCTCAGGTCTGGACCAGAATCGGAGGAAGGCTCGCCAGGAGGCGCTTCAGAGGAAAACTCAGGGTTCTGATCTCCCGGGAAGGAAACAGGATCCCGAAAAACAAAACAGCTCAGGGCGCTCCCGGACCCAACTCGGTAGAATCCTGCGCGCAGCCCGGCCCCAGTGCCACTGCCGCAGACCCGCCTACCTGGGCTCGCAGCGCTTCCAGCGCCCACGCTGAGCCCAGGCGATGCTCTGGCGCCTCTCGTAAGGGTAGGAGAAAAGGCCAGGATAACCCCAACCGCTCTCCTTCTCCGGAGCCTGGAAGAGAGCTAGGACCACCGCTGTAGGGTAAGACCAGATGGCGGTGGAGAGGCAGACAGGCAGATGGCGCAAACTGGGTGAACTAATCGAAGAAGCAGGTTATTAGAGTGAGCGGAATGGAAAGTTCCTCACCTGGAGACGCGAGTTTCAGGGCAGCGCGAGCGGCAGGTCCAACCGGGATGAACACCACGCCTGCCGTGGGCGCCTTCCCCACGGAGACCCCTGTTCTTATTGCAGAGATAGCGGGAGGGGGGTCCACCGGCACGCGCGGCCAATCCAAAGTGGCCAGGACTAGCCAATCAGAGGATCGACCGAGTTCGGATTGCGTCATAGTTCTCATTGCCCGCACTGGTACTCTGGAGCGGGGGCAGTCCGCCTCGCTGTCATTTTTTTTATTGAGGTCATTGCTTGGGAAGCTGGAGAGCCTGGGAGAGGACAGAGAGCTTTCAACTACCTAAAAGTCGGGGAAAGTCGAGGAGAGTTTGGCGTCACCTACAGTGAGGGACCAGAGCTTCTCTCACCTCCTTAGCTCCTAAACTTCCTGCCTCGCACTTCCTCCTGTCACGCCAGTGGGGAACCCGAGTCCAGTCACCTTAACCCCCAGCGAAGTTAAGCAGTAGTCCTAGGTTCTAAAGAGACCACAGCTGAAAGATTGGTAGGGAAGGGAAAAGGGAAGGAGTCCTCAAAAATTGATTTCTTTGGATCACCTGGGGTGCTTCTCTGGATATCCTCCGACCCCTCAAGCCCTGGCACCCTGGGCCCCCAAAGAAGGCTGTTTTGGTGCCAGTCTGGCAGCCAATCCTTCTCCACCTCAATCCTCTGGGATGGGTAGGAGTGGAAGAAAGGACGAGGAGAGGACTAAACTGGCACTGCCTGCATACAAGGCTCAGCATCCACCTCCTCCCCTTCCCCTGTATCCACAAATCCTTGACTGCGGGTCCAGCAACCCCCTATGCCAGGACCCTCCACTGCCACGCCGAAGTTGGCTTACATAGCTGCACTGCGACTCTGCCCCCTGTTTGCCAAGCTGCCTGGTGGGGATGGTCTATGCCCGGGTCTCTACTGCTCTTGCTCCACACCCCTGCCCCACTTCACTCAAGCGCCTGAGAGCTGAGCACTCTGGGGTCTCTCTGCCACCAGCGGAGGGAAGAGGATGCTGCAGCCGAAGGATCAGTCTAAGAATTTTCACACCCGTTCCACTCGCGACTATAGACCAGCTGGTGCGAGCATCACCACTCACATGGCTGGACCCCCGCCACATGCTCTGCCTTCTGCATTCACAGACAGTCCCGCAGACAGCCAGCACTCACCGGTACAGACGCGCCCTCACCAGCCTCTCGCAAAGGGCGCGCGCACATGAACCCAAACCAACCACACCCAGACCCGAAAGCAAACCCGTGTGTTTCTGTTTTCAAAAACAGACGTGTTTTATGCAAATGGAGGTACATACTGTCCCCCAAACACGCATACCTACACATGCACATCCACGCACACGAACTCAGCCTATCCATTTTTTTAAAGAGTTTTTCTAATTGTGCTTTAGGTTCTGGGTACACATGTGCAGATCATGTAGGATTGTCGCATAGGTACACACATGGCAATGTGGTTTGCTGCCTCAATCGTCCGTCACCAACATCTGGCATTTCTCACCATGTTATCCCTCCCCGACCTCCCCACCCCCACCCCGCTGTCCCTCCCTTGGCCTCCCTCAACTGACCCCAGTGTGTGATGCTCCCATTCTGTGTCCATGTGTTCCCATTGTTCATCAACAGCCTATGAGTGAGAACATGCGGTATTTGATTTTCTGTTCTTGTGTCAGTTTGCTGAGAATTTTGGTTTCCAGATTCATCCATGTCCCTACAAAGGACGTAAACTCATCCTTTTTTTAGCTGCATTGTATTCCATGGTTTATATATGCCACATTTTCCTTGTCCAGTCTATCATCGATGGACATTTGGGTTGGTTCCAGGTCTTTGCTATTGTAAACAGTGCCTCTATGAACATACTGTGCATGCATCCTTATAATAGAATGATTTGTAATCCTTTGAGTAATACCCAGTAATGGGATTGCTGGGTCAAATGGAATTTCTATTTCTAGGTCCTTGAGGAATCGCCACACTGTCTTCCACAATGGTTGAACTAATTTACACTCCCACCAACAAGTAAAAGTGTTCCTATTTCTCCACATCCTCTCCAGCATCTGTTGTCTCCAGATTTTTTAATGATTGCCATTCTAACTGGCGTGAGGTGGTATCTCAATGTGGTTTTGATTTGCATGTCTCTAATAATCAGTGATGATGAGCATTTTTTCATATGTTTGTTGGTCTCATATATGTCTTCTTTTGAAAAGTGTCTGGTCATATCCTTTGTCCACTTTTGATGGGTTTTTTTTTTTTTCTTGTAAATCTGTTTTAGTTCTTTGTAGCTTCTGGATATTAGCCCTTTGTCAGATGGGTAGATTGCAAAAATTTTTTCCCATTCTGTTGGCTGCCAGTTCACTCTAATGATTGTTTCTTTTGCTGTGCAGAAGCTCTGGAGTTTAATTAGTTCTCATTTGTCTATTTTGGCTTTTGTTGCCAATGCTTTTGGTGTTTTAGTCATGAAGTTCTTGCCTACTCCTATGTCCTGAATGGTTTTGCCTAGGTTTTCCTCTAGGGTTTTTGTGGTATTGGATCCTATGTTTAAGTCTTTAATCCATCTGGAGTTAATTTTAGTGTAAGGTGTCAGGAAGGGGTCCAGTTTCTGCTTTCTGCACACTGCTAGCCAGTTTTCCCAACACCATTTATTAAACAGGAAATCCTTTCCCCATTGCTTGTTTTTGTCAGGTTTGTCAAATATCGGATGGTTGTAGATGTGTGGCATTGCCTCCAGGGCCTCTGTTCTGTTCCATTGGTCTATATCTCTGTTTTGGTACCAGTACAATGCTGTTTTTTCTTAAGGAAAGCCGGGTTCTTGCTCCCGGGTTCCAGGAGAAGATCCCAGCTTTGGCAGAAAGGGCTAGGGAGGGAGCTGGGGGTAGGGGCGGTAGCAAGAAAGTAAGGGAGCGCCACTCACCACTGCCCCCGCCCGGGCCTCAGGTTCACTTTGCCACTTGACAGCAGCTCTCCTAAATGAATCCACCAGCACCCCCTACACTCCAGGAGAGTGTTCTGGAAACCTTGCTGGAGGCTGCGGGGCAGGAAGCAAAGCCAGAGGCTAGCAGAATCTTTGCAGGTGGTGCTCACTGTTTCTGCGGGTCAGAAAGAAGTTCAGGGGATGTCTATGTAGGCCCTTTGGGTCCTTTTCGTGTGGCAGGATCCAGCTGGTGGAGCTAAGGTAGGAAGACCGCTAGCACCTGTGCAATCGAAACTGCAGGTAACGCTCACGAAGAATCAGGACCGCTGACTCAGGCAACTGCTGTAGAAGTAGCTCTGGACTGTGGTAGACTCAAAATAGGGCAGGAGGACTTCCAGGACCTGTGTAGTAGCACATCAGGAACTGCAGCTTTCTAAGGAGTATTTCTACATAATAGGAAGGTTATCTACAGCTAAACTGTTGGACTTGGTTTTGTGGTTTTTGTTTTGCTTTGTTTTTCAATTTTTAATTTGTGAGTACATAGTAGGTGTATATATGTATGGGATACATTAAATGTTTTTATACAAGCATATAATGTAATAATCACATCATGGAGAATGGGGTATTAGTCCCCTCAAGCATTTATCCTTTGTGTTACAAACAATCAAATTACACTGTTTTAGTTACTTTTAAATGTACAATTGTTATTATTGACCATAGTCACCCTGTTGTGCTAGCAAATAGTAGGTCTTATTCATTCTATTTTTTTGTATCCTTTAACCTTTCCCATCTCCATCACCACCACCTACTATCCTTTCTAGCCTCTGGTAACCATCTCTACTGTCCACGTCCATGAGTTCAATTGTTTAGGTTTTTACATGTTGGGCTCGCTTTTGGATGCAATGAGGGACACCAAGGCAGCTGTCACTTGGAAGCCCTTCCTCCCAAAGCCCTGCAATTCTAGGGGAGACTTCTGTCTCCCTCTCCTCAATTCCAGCCTGGAAAAAGGGCTGCCTGATGGAAAGGCAAAG